TTATTCGGGTTCTATTATTCTTGGGTGGAATCAAAAAGATATCGTACAACAATTAATAAATGATGTTTTATTATTTCCTGTTTCTTGTTTGGTGGATAAATACAAATTATTTGTATATGGTGTTGGTAGCTCATCATGTAAAGATTGGTGTAATGCTGGGGCCGGTTATAAAGTTTCATTAGTTCATATGTATTTGAAAAAACAAGCAATATTTGTATCGTCTATGACAAACAATACATGTGTAGTTGAAATATATCAAGAATTATAGCGTCAAAAAAAGTTTATAGGAACTTCACCCGATGATGTATAGAAACAATCAGAATTCATTAAAGAATTCAATGGAATTTGTCTTTTTGGTTTACATGATGAAACTATTCAAAATTTTATTTTAGCTAATCATATTCCAACTTGTAATCCTAATAATTGGCAAGAATACACAATTATGAAATCAATATTTGATTATCATTTAAAACGCAGAACGATCACTTCAATTCAATGGTATAACTTTTTTCAAAATTGGTCTGCAAGTAAAAATGGAATAATTGAATTATATCAAAAATTAAAAGAAATTTATCCACCTGATTATCACTTTGATGAATGAGAACTAAGAGCATGAAAGGCCATGTTACATGCATCAGGCTGCACAAATATTACGCCTTGGCCACAAGATATATCAGAGGTAAATATATTATACATATATCAGTATGTCAAATTAATTTGTGTCAGGTTAACTAATATTAGGGTAGTGCATAATTTAGGGTAAGGGTAGAATTAACCTGATGCAGATATTAATTTGACACAATAGAAAAAACCAAATTGAACTAATAAAGTAATTTATTAGCTTGAATTATGGACAAAATCTTATTCATCTACAAGTGACTTAGAGTCAATAGCAAATCTTTATAAAATAGGTTTACTTACTCCAATACCTATTCATACACCAAATACTGTTCTAACATTTTGGTCATGCTTTAATCATGCATTAGCTGCAAATAAAAAAAGTAGAGATGGAAAATGACGTATTCTTTCAATCATTGCTTCGGATTTTACTTATTCAGAAATGGAAGAACAGTTAAATGTAAGAAATTATTATTTTTTTATATAATAAACCCATAATATAAATAATTTTCAATTGATAATTTCGAATTAAGGTTGGTGCACATACTATAAAAGAAGCTCGACAACATGCACGTATTAATGGTTATGGTGCTCCTTCATTAAAAAAGCCAGTTATTAAACGTTTGAAGTTAAAACCAAAGCAAACAAATCAATTTGAAAATTTTTTTTCAGACAAATCAATTGTTAATATGAGCTCGTATAAAAGTGACAACAAAACTGGATTGCCTATTATGTACTTACAAGATCATAAAAAAGCATTATGGGAACGTTTTCATGAACAGTATCCTAATGGTATGGGTCGAACAACTTTCATGACTCGCTTGCAGGGTAGTCGGTTTGTTTACCAGGATAATTTAGGTGGATTATGTTCAACATGTAATGAATGTGGATATGAAGTGTTTAGTGATATAGAGGTTTTAATTAAAGCTCATGTTGAGGATATTAATTTGCAGGTATTACAGTTAAAATAAGAATTAATATTATATATGTAGATTTTAATATAAATAATTTCATGTAAATAGAAAGAATTACGAACTGAAATGCAAGAATTAAGACGTTATATTTGTCATGAATTTTCTAAACAACTCAAAATAACTAGTATTGGAGTTGCGATGCATGATTCATGTATTGGTCACTGTCTTTATTATGCATTTGGCAATTGTGATCAACAACATCCAATATTTTGTTCAAATTGTGAAAGTTTTTTCAAAATATTTGATAAATTAAGAAAAGTATTACGGTTAGATTTACATAATTCTATTGAAGAATATCAAAATAAGTTGATAAATTGGATGGCTCACTTAGCATGTAAAACTTATCTAAATGTACATGTTCAAGTAAATCTTAATAATTTAGATAATTATGGTGCAGTAATAATTGTCGATTTTAAAATGAAAATACTCTCTCAGCACTCATGTGAGACGAAGAAAGATTTCTATGAAAAGCATGGATGGAGTTTACATTCTGTGTTAGTATATACGAAAGATATTACAAAAAATCAGTTAACTTTGGAAGTATATGATCATTGGTCAGATGATAACAAACAAGATGCATGGTTTACCGCATCTTCTTTACATACCGTATTTGAAACAATGGAGAATAAGCCTGAATGGGTAATCATTATATCTGATAATAGTCCTCATTATTATTGCACGGAGTTAATGTTAATATTAGGACACTGGAAAGAATGATACAATATTGTTCCATGAAAATGGATATTTTTAGAGGCTAGTGAACCAAAACTTCAATTGACTCACATCACGCACAGGTAATATTCAGATCTGTATTTAAAAATAAATGTAATTTTTGACTTTAGTTTTATTATATATCTAGATATCACAGGCAATTAAACGATACGTCAAATTGGGATTTAGTCTTAATTCAGGTAGTGATATTGAAAATGCAATAAAAGATATTGCAGGTACCCATGTATCCAATATTATACCAGATTGCCTAGATAGTAAGTATAATACTATGATCTTCTTGCCGATTTTGAATGATTATCTAATTATTTGAGAAAAGAAAAACAAAAATTAGGAACTATTGCTGGAATCTCGAATTTTCAAGAATGGACATGGCCTACAAATAGTGAAAAAATTGAATTTATTGCTGCAAGAGCACTACCAGAAA